CTTCCCACGACTAAGTTACAAGGCACGCTTGACTTGACTTAGTACTAACAGCAGTCCATTCGGATCTACTTGGCTTGTGGAGCTGCAAAATGCAGTTCAAGCTTCACTAAGCCAGGTCGAGCTGGCTTGGCTTGTTGACATCCCTAGCCCCAGACTTCAAAACCACTTTTGAGGTGCGGGTGGCCTAACAAAGTTCCAAAACATTCTCCTCTCAATATGAATTAATACGGCAAAAATGTTCAAATTCTTTTGGCCCACTGCCAGTTGAAGTAGATGGCCCAGATTATATTTGGGGCAACACTAATTGCTTTTGGCGATCCAAAATTAATTTTCTTTTAGAGAACTGTTTCTAGAGAGTCGGAGAGTAATTAGGAACTTTTTTTACATCCCCCAGCACCTCAAAACAATTTTCTAGGTGGATGGAACACCACATGCTATCATTCTCCATTACTTTGAAAATACAATGTTTTAACCCATGGCAAACCATTTTGAGATCAAAGATTCTTGTAAGTGTACCCGGAACAAAGGATTCAACTTCTGCTGCAACAAAGAATTGAATGCCTTTTTCAGTTGAACTATGTCCACATTGGAATGATTAGGGTTCTTGAAAACTAGTGCAATGACCAATTGCTCCGGTCCGCCACCATCTGGGGGCACCCCAATAGCCGCAGTTTCAAGCACAGACTCATCCGCTCCATTACAGATACGCTCAATCTCAATCGAACTCACCTAAGCATGATTTGATAGCACCATATTACATCATCAATCATGCAATTTTTACATGCACAAATACACATAAGTAACGTACAAAGTACATAAATACATCCAAGCATGCAGAAATACATACATTTATACAAACTAAATTATATGGTACATATATATGTGCATGCATGTGGGTGGTGGGTGTGTGTGCGTGTGTGTGTGTGTGTGTGTATATATATATATATATATATATATTTATAGTACGCCCACACACATTACATGGTAAATAGTTAAATAAATACATAAACATAGATTTTGATGCAACTGCTCACACCTTAATGCCACCAAGATTCATTGTATCATCTGTGCGGCCATGGGCACGATAATATCCTCCAGCAGTACGTTCAAATTCATCTCCATGTCTTCTCAAAACCTTCAAAAGGAGAGGAATTCTCATGAATATGAGTATAAAGCAGGAAGTGAGTAGGGAGAAGGTACTCCAATAAATGTACCTTTCCGTTCCAATTGGGCATGTCTTTGAAATACACATCATAGTGATTTGCATTCAGTAGTGTTGTTGATGCCCCAAACATCACTGGATCAAGTGCTAGTTCCCCAATTGCCGGGGTGGACGATGGCTTTCAAAGGAAGAAAAAAAATTAACCCACAGGTAATTAGCATAGACATGCGCTTTTGAGCGTAAATGCATGGATAACATGTCTGCATCCAAAGGCATGTATGGAACTTGCACATATGAGTGGGAAAGTGCACATGTTTTTACGTACGTGCACTGGTATGCATGAGCATGGACAAGAAAGAATGCTATGATACAATGGACAGTGGAAAAATAATAGTCCATTGCAGTGTTTTAAAAATGGCCGATCCAATCCGGAGTCGGGCGATGTGGATCGGGTATCGGTGATACCGCTCCAAATCCAATATTGGTAAAGCCGGGTGACTCGAACTTCTATTTTTTTAAAATCTGGCTTTCTGTTTACAGTGGCTTTTACATATCCGTCGCCGTCCTGCACGCCACGTGGCGCTGCCACCAAAAAAGCTTCCCTAACCCCATTCACCGCCGTCTTTCAGTCCAGGTGGCGTTGCCACTTCAACTTTAGCATTCATGGCCCAGACAACATTTTCTTACCTTAGATTGTGGGTTTCTTTTATTACACTATGTCTTCCCGCATCGCTCCGATGTGGGACATTTCTGTAGCCCGTCATGAATAAGCAAGCTGGCAAATATTGTTAGCTTGGAATAAATTGCAATAAGATGGTGTACCTGCAATGGTGCACACGCGACAGTGTATGTCCATCATGAATAAAAAAGTTGTTTGCCCAATTGTGGCAAATAAATTTGACGATAAAAAAGAAAAAAAATATTAAAAATAATAATTGGGTGCCCATCACCCTATCTTTCACCAAAAAAATTTAAATTTACTTACAAAAAAACATAAAAACTCTATTAAGCTATTATATCATTGGATTATTTCATTATATGAATAATAATTAATTAAATAGTTAATTAGGATTAAAAAATTCGTACTAGCTCATAGAATAAATAAAAATAATAATACCAATTCTAGTCTATTGGATATTAAAAAAAAATAGTTTAAATTTGTATTTCTAAATTCTATATTTCTATCCACACTAATTGCTATATATTAGATTTCTTTATTTGTGAGGGTCATACCCTTGTTTTTTGAATCACATTTATTATAATATTGTAATTAATAATTATACTAATTACAATGATAACTAAGTCTATTTTATTCATTAATTTATTTATTTTAATTATACAGACATCCAGATAGAAAAACGTCTCAATAATCACCTATTTTTACAAAGTAATGAAAATCCATAATGCACCACTCCTAAATTCTTTAACAAATTAAAATAACATTATTTTAGAGATTTCTAGTGATTTTTTAAATATTTTTTTATACAAAAATTGCCGATTCCGCCCGATTCCAGATCTGAAACGCCGATTCACAGATTCGGATGAGATTTTGGGGTGCCCGATCCAGGGCACCGATCCGTTATTTAAACCACTTGTCAAATGTGTCATCAGCATCCAATGATAGAGAGTAGACATCACATCATTCAACAGGAAACTGGTAATCCAAATGCCTGTGGTATTAATACTGCACTGTGTAGTATAGTTTCCCTTAGCACACGTGAATAAGGGAAGGTAAGTCATGACCCACATTGTAACTGTATGTGGTAACAGGGATATTACTGTCCCATCAACAACTTGGACGTTGATGCAAGAAATGTTAATGCCACCAAAGACTTCATTGAGTCGTATGCCCCACTTTAATTCCACCACCGTCAAATCCATAGGATTGACACTGATAACCCCAACAACCATTACCATATGGATCATAGTATTGGCACCCATGAATGGATAGCACTCCAGCACAATCCTGTGAATTCAGTAAAGTGAGAAGGTAAAAGAATGACCTACAACGGGATTTCCATCACTGCCAAGGATGAAGAGGTTGCAGCCCATAGCAGGTGTACTGAAAGCAGCCAAAGACTGATTCTGCAGAAGTGATCCGGAAACAAATCCACCCCCAATTTCAGTTCCACCACAATACTCAATCACAGGCTTGTAGCAAGCTCTACCCATGAGCCAGAGATACTCGTCTGCACTTGATGCCTCACCTGTGGAGCCAAAGCATCTGCCATATTCTCCAAGAAATCAACCCAACTTGTAGCCAGTCAATTTAAGCAATCAAACATGTAATATCCTCACTTTAATTTTTTATGGCATACCACATACCTAGGGAGAAAGACATACAATACTCCAAAATGTCAGACTCATTTCCTGTTAATTTACAGGAGATTACCCTTGGTGGAGCAGCTGAGATGCTACTGTCAATCTCTGGCATCATCAGATGCCTCTTTGGAGCACCATATATGATACACCATTGGCTTGTGGAATACTTTTTCTTTTGACAATTAATTAGATGGATTTAAGTAAAAGCATAAGAACTTTTGGGCATTCTCAAATTTCCGAAATTCAAAATGGAACTTGGACAAAAACATTCAGTGATCACATTCTTAGAATCCAAAACAGAATTCAAAATTCACAACTCACCGAATACTAGACCAATCAAGACCAGCTGTGCAATTTGAATATTTCCATGCCCGTACTATGCTTGGAACCACACCAAGCATAGTTATTTTTGCATCCTACAATGATTACAGTGACTTATGAAATTTCCATGCCTTTCACGAAGGAAATCATGCATGAAATGCAAATCCAAAACATCTGTAACGTAGAAATACAAAAATGGGGCAAAAGTTTGAGCTCCGTGCACAATGATATTGAGATAATTATAACCTCCACTGAAATTCATAAACTCATTAGGACTCATTTGAGATAAAAGCAAAAAAAAATAAAATTAAAACAAGAAGATTTCTCAAGACTCAGCCGACTAACGAAAACTTGGCTTGTGCCTTTGCCCATTCAACTTGCTCTGAATGACTTGTTTGAGAAACAAGTTCATTCAAAAAACAAAAAATAAAATAAAACACCCAATTTATGGCTCCATGATGCAAGGGACACTTTGTTCATCCCGGAAGACTTTTGGGTTATCTCAGTAAGACTTCAATCTCCCAACTTGCATAGCTTCCAGTGCCATTAATTTAGTCAAAGTTCAAAGATGTCAATCAGATGCAAAAGATGATATTAAAAGAACACATTAAAACATGATGACACTAAAAATTGATTGAGACATATGAAGAACAGTGATTACTAGATAACATTTATGTAGTGAATCTCAACTACCTGAACAAACTTGGCAAATCCATAACCAAGGGGGGATCCATTGTATAGAGCCATTGAAGCACCATTAAGGAGAGAGGCATACACAAGCCAAGGACCCATCATCCAACCCAGATTTGTGGGCCAAGCAACTATATCCCCTTTAAGGATATCCATGTGCACCCAGCCATCTGCAGCTGCCTTAATAGGAGTCATATGAGTCCATGGAATAGCCTTAGGCTCCCCTACATGAAATACAACAACAATATTGAGTTTTGTTCTTCTTATCTAAAAAGCACATGATAAAGGAAAATTAGATAATCTAGGCTTATATTTAAGGGGAGAAGAAAGAAAGAAAAAAATAATGGCCACTATTTACGCAAGTTTGATAAAAACAACGTTAGAGAGAAAATATAAAACAAGCACCTAGCACTCTACTATCAGGTTTCAGGGTGTCGAATATACAAACACTGAATTTAGAAGAATTTCGTGTTGGGAAAGAAGTCAACTATTTAATTGAATATGAATGTATACTATGTAAAACCACAACTTGGGGACCTGAGTTGGTCTATGTCTGGCCAAGCCAAAAAGCGTAAAAAATAAAAAAAATTACAAAAAATACAAAAAAATCCCAGAAAAAGGAAAATATGTTTAATATAAAATTAAACAAGAAACATCTAAATGAAATTAAAAAAGTAGTGAAAAAATGGATTTTGAAAAAATGAATTTGTGATAGAGGATATTTTAGAAATAATCCATAAAAAGGGAAAATGTAAAAATAAATATTCATGGCCAAACTTCCAATCTTTTTCAAAATGATAGAAAAAAAAAACATATTACAAATAAATTTATTATTTTTAATTTTTTTAATTTTTTTTTTTTTACTATCCCCAAGTCGGACCACCCAACTTTGGAATAATCGGACTTGCCAGGGTGGTGATTCTGTCATGGCTCGCCCGAGTTTTTGCACACTGGCATGAAGTTATTGACTATTGGAAGGGAAATGGGATCCAAAGCTCGAGGTCAAGGAGAAATATTCTGGAGATTGGGAAGATCATATGGGCCTTAGTAGGCATCCACTTATGCAGGAATTTTGCTTCAGAAATAACCCCCTTTATACCTTAACAGAAAACACTGAACAGTTTATGATAAACCAAAAGATAATAAATGAAAGCATAAAAATCAAAGAATAAACTATCAATGATGAAATTCAAGTTTTTTCCTTTGTTCTTCACTTCTGAAAGGAAGTAAAATTTACGAAAGAAAGAACGAGAAGATATATGGTTGGAATTTTTGAAAGAATCAGTGGTGCAAGTACCTGTAGTTCCAGATGAGAAAAGAATGTTTGTGAATGACTCCACAGGTTTTTCCACAGGGGTGTAATCATTAGTTCTGTAATACAATAGACGAAAATTAGTAACTAATAGAACCAAGAGATGTCGATGTATTTAGATGAATTTATGAAGAGGAATCAGCAAACTTCGAGGAGATATTCAAGTAAATCAATGATTGTAACGATTAGAAATTGCTCTTTGCCTTGAAGAGGCTGATCATAATCCAGTTGATCAAGAATCAAACTTCACATGCAAATTCATCCTAAAAACTGCCATGAACTTTGATAATTCATTAAAAGAAGATGATAATTGGTGTGAAAATACAACCCTTTGGGCTCGAATGAGAAATTAAGATTATGCTCGATATCCAAATGTACCATTGCAAGATGCACACTAAGTGTCTCTATTCATTGGTTTATCGACGTGGAAAAAGCACCGAAGTGAACGACAGGACTCAACAACTATTGAAAAGGCTTCTGAAGGATGTGACACAAGCTTGAGGTTGAGCTTCTCCGAACCCAAAAGAATGATGCAGTTAGGGCATTTAATTTTATTTTTATGATTTTTTTAGGATATTGAAATCAGGTTTATTTGGAATTCTAGTTTTCCAATTAGTGTAGGATATTTATTTCTTTTTGTTGTAGAGAACCGAAAGGTGGAATTAGAAGTTTAATTTTGAGAAGATGAAGCGCGCTTGTGTTTAATTGTCATTAGGGTGTCTTATGGAACAAGTTAGATTTTTAATGTTTGTTTATAAATATGTAAGTGTTGGACTAGGAATAGAACACAGAAGTTGAATTGATTTTTTTTTCCTTTTTAGGCCTTGTGCTTTTCAAGGCGAATTCCCTTGCAGGCCCAGAGAGATGGGCAAATCTCTCAAACCTTCAGGGCCGATTCCCCTATAGACTCTGAGACGGTATTTTCTCCCATCTTACTTCATGTTTTGGTTTTATCTATTTTCTCCATCTTTTTCCTACCTTATTGATTCTTTCATAAGATTATGACAGATGCATGACTGAGTATGATGAAAAAGATAGACTCGTCAATAGGAAACAAAAACTAGAGATTCTTCAATAGGAAACAAAAACCAAGTTTACATACCCGTCGTGTTTTACCCTTGCCAAAAATTCATCCCAAGATAGATCACCTTCACGAAGTTCCACACTAGGACTCGAGCCTCTAGCAGGTAAAACTATTGCCAAAGGTGCATAAGCTTCCACAACTCTACTGAAATTGACAAATTGTCAACAATCACCTGTTAATATTAATGTAATTGGGATAAGGAAAATGAAGAAAAATGAGGAAAGGAGCTGATTAACAATACCTGTACAGAGGAAGACTCTTATCACCGCGGATGATAACATCCTAAAAGGATTGGAAACAAGAATAAAAAGATTATATGAGAGAATTTTAGACCTGTACTGCTTTAAAAAATTTGAAACAATCACTCAGCATAAGAAGAGAATATAAGATGAAAAATAACCATACAAGGAGTATAAAAATATAATAAAACAATCCACATTATCATGATGAATCATTAGTTCAAAATAACCTTAAAATGGAGAATACATAGAAATAACAAGGTGCAAAAGGCAATGGTCAGAGAGATCAACGAACCGCAGACACACCAAAGATAAGAAACCTGTCATTAGTTATGAATGGCTCATGCAAAAGTATTTGAGAGAATCTTAATAACAGCCCATTTCCAATCATTCGAGGGAGCCAAAGATCTAGAACCATAACAGTCAAAACGTAAACAAGGGTCACCACAGGGATCCTGCTTTATGAGGCAAGTTCAATGACAATAGTGTAAAGTACCTGAGTGAATATCGCTTTTGCTTTTGATATATTGAGCCTCATTGAAATCTCACGAGCAGCAAAGCTATCAGCAATAGATACAACTACATATCCAGCCAGAATGATGGCAAGATAGGCAACAACAGCAGTGACATTCATTGGCATGTCAATTGCAACAGCAGATCCCCTCTCTAGATCCAACATTTCAAGTGCATTTGCAACCAAACTGAGAAAAGAAATAGTTAAAAAGTTTTCACGAATACGATGAATATACAGTTCTAAGCTTCCAAGGAAGGCTATAAAATGCATGATTGGAGACTATATCAGTGCCAGCAAGATCAAAGCAGTGAATGGAATTGTAATAAAGGTAACACAAAATAAATATTCAACAAATATGAAAACAGATATACTTTACTAAAGTAAGTCTTGAACACATGCAATTCTTGTTAGAAAACTATCGTGAGAACCATTCTGTTCTTGCCATAAAAATATATAACCAGGGTACTATTTTATTACGTAACTGTAGAGACACAAACCTTAAGATTCACAAGTTTGATTTTCTAGAAGCACAAATTCCACTAGTTTTGCAACATCAAAGGAACCTATATACAGTAGGAAGGTACAAGAGCAGGAAAATAAATGCCTTAGAGAACTAAAGTCGCATAAGAAACACAAAAATCAGAATGTGATTTTCTAATAAACACAAATAGCCCTATACTCAAAGAATGCAAATATCCCTACACTTGATGCCGTGAACCGTATACACAACAAGATTGCAAGAGATGCAAAAGAACACTACAGCAGCATAGACATTGGACACTGGTCACAGAATCAAACAATTGACAATGTTAATTTTCCTGACCATCATGACCACATCACTGTAACATAAAAGGTATTTTAAAGTTCAAAACTAAAGAAAATTTCCTTTAATGATGACAGTTAAATGGACCCAATGTTCAATACATGGGAATTAAGCCAAATATTGATATTTGTACAAAGTAAATTAGTTCATTTGTTGATAAAAGAAAATAGGCAGAAGGCAGCAGCATAACATACCAGACCTTTGCATTCAAATCCCTATAGGTCACATAATTCAGCGGTAATTCATCATAACCTTCATCACGCCAGATAATGGATGTATCCTCCATACTTCTTCCTTTTGGAAGCAAACAATTCTTCGCAGAATTCAGCATGGCCCCATGGAGCCACCTTCCGCCAGGGCAAGATAACTCATTTTTATCTAACTCATCAGAACTCAATATGCAGGATGGAGGCACAGAAAAGGAAATATTTAGCTCATCTAACATCATACGCCAGTAGGCCTACAAGAAAAACCAAATGCTTCTAAATTCAAAAGGATTTGAAGTTACAAACAAGGCAAAAAGTGATATAATCCAGTTGAACACGGGTACCCATTGTTCACTGGGGCCATCACCATCTAATGACATGATGGACGATGATATGAAGAGAAAGTAGGACCCACATTTGGGGCCCACCCTTTCCACGGGTATTAATCATTCCAATGGATGGTAATGAACCCACCAAACTATGGTTTCGCATACTCCATGAGATTATAGTATATTCCCTACAAACAATCTATGTGAAAGTCCACCATAATTATTTCCACTTTCAGCTAAAATTCCAGAAGAAAAGGGATACATGCCTCGGGGTTCGTAACTGAGAACTCTTGAAATGCAGAGAAGCTTGAGATGGGATCCTTATATTTCAATCCGAGAAACTCATTCCCACGTCTCTCTAAAACCCGGGAAACATTGGTTCTCATTGCATCGTCCCTGCAACCACAAATATAAAGCCTTAATTTCTCAAAAGTTTGGGTTATGTCATCCAAGGGTAACATGATAGTGTAGTAGATAGATGCCATTTGTGCCAAAACATTATGGAAGATTTCGCAGAAAGTTGGGAGTTATGTGCCAAATAAAGGAATTCAGGACAAGGTCATTCACTTCCAAAGGATATAAGCCCCATGAAGAAAATCTGACATTGCAATGGAATAGAATCAAGATTTATGGGCAAACATGCATACATAGTTAGAAGTCCATAAATTGAGAGTTGTGGACAATATGCCTACCTAGTTTACACTAAATCCCCATCCCTAGAAGCTTGTGATTCAATGAAGTTTCATTACACTTCTAACCATTCAAAAATTTAGAAACACAAGAACGAAGTTTTCATTACTCTTAGAAGGATTCCCAACCCAATTTTGAACGATGTCTTTTCTGTTCTATTAATTCAAATTTCTGAACCTGCATATAATCCTTGATCTAAGTTAGCTAAGACTGTGAATGGAGTATAGAAGCATAAGAATAGGGAAAAAAACCAATTATAAAAGAAAACAAAGGACCCAAACTAACAGTACTGTTGATAAATGAATATCCAGAACCCAACAAACTGAAAATTGATTATAAACCAGGAGAAAGAAATTCGATAAACGAGAAGAAGAGGGGAAAATAATACTGCATCAACTTACAAGTTAGTGATCCAAGCGGGAGGAGGGCCCAATTGGGTTGCATCCCATTCGCTATAACACCCATAATACATCATATGGTGCAAAGCAAATGGAAGTTCAGGTGAGAGAAGATGCTTTGAAATGTTATCCCATGTTTTAACACGGCAACTTCCATGGTCGCTAAGTATCTGTTGCACCTTCTGATAAAACTTCTCTGCCTCATCTCTAGGGATATCAAGCTCTCTGATTTGCTCTACTGTTACAGTCTCTAGAGGGAGAGGAGCCATGCTTCTTGTTCTACCAAAAAAACCATGAAAATGAAAATTAAGGAAGAAGATGCCTGATGGGTCTCCTCAAAATTGTGAAATTTTGTTGGAAAGAGGCTTGGTTGCATCATTTATTGCCAATGATTCTTCAGTCTCGATGCGCAATACTGTAACTTAGTACATGATTGCATTGCCTAGGTGTCCTACTCGTCATATTTACAAGAGGTCTAAATGTATAGTAAGATCAAGTCTTTTAAAATCAACGATTTCTGTTTTGGATTTGCCTATCTGGGATGGGAAATCTTCTGGAACCGAAGGTGTTCCAAATGGTATGAGTCTCGGCCCTTAGTTCTCCTTAAAATACCTCATATATTTTATTTTATTTTCAAAATTTATCAAATATTTTTTTACGTCTCCTCTAAATTTTCACTCTATAAAGTTCTATTTTAATTTTTATTTTTTATTCAATTTTTATAGTATTTTTTCAATCATCAAGTTGGGCCACACGATTGGGATCACCAATGAGGAATGCGTGACTGAATCATCCGCCCCACCAATCCAGGTATTAAAATGTTCGTATGATATGACTCCGGGTTAGGTGAAATAGGTTAGCCCAAGTTCCAAGGAAGCCTGAGATGAATACCCGATCTCGACATGTTCAATGACCAGAGTGCACAAATATTGTTTTATTAAGGTTTATACTCGTCTTTAAACTTCGATTAGCGAAGTAAAGGCACTTCAACACATAAAAACCACTACTCTATTGTGGATAAAACTCTTCAAATTGATGATCTTGACCTTTAGATATACAGGTGGAGGGATTTTAAAAATTTAAAAAATAGTGAATCTTTTAGATACATTATTTAGACAATCTATCTATTAAAAATTTGAATAGAATGTAATCTACGATACTATTATTTTTTTTTTACATGCAGATCATAATCACTTTCAGCCAGTGATTAAAAAAACGGCGAGTCGAACCGGGATCGCCCGATTCGACTCGGGAATCGGCACTGAACGTGCCGAATCGATCAAAAAACACGGAATCGCACGGTTCTAAAGAGAACCGGACGATTTTGTACAGTGACTCGCCGATTCACTGTACGGAATTGGCGAATCCCTTGAAGAACATGGGCTGCACAGTGTTCTTCACGGGATTCTTCAAAATTTATCATTTTTTTATCATTTTTTTTATTTTTTTGCCCTATGATCGAATATGCAGGCTTTATACATATTTTTTCAGCCTTTTCATGGATTAAATGGTGGAGAAATTTAGTTTTTTTTTTTATCATGAACGTTGAGTTTTTAGGGTTTTCGCCTTTCTTTGTGTTTCATGCCAAATAGCGCATGAATCTGTGAATATTTGTAGTCATTTTGATCGTAAAGTTGTTCATCAAAACATTCTGTTACGAATTTGTGAAAATCGTTGAGAAAAACAGAATAATTTGGAGATTGAAGGCTCGGGTTCACGAAACCATGTAAGAACTTTGGGTTTTTTTTTTTTCCGCCATATGATCAATTTCACTGCAGATTTTGAAAATAATGAGTTACATTTGTAGGGTTTTTAATCGTTATTGTGTCTTTTATCATGTAACATATTCAATTTTGTTTAATTTGCTCAATTACAGCCTGATTTTTTAGATGAACACAGTGATGGCTGTTTTTTTTTTTTTCCGCCTTTCGAGTTTTTGTTCATGATATATTACAATTAATGTGTTAGATTTCTAGGGTTTTTAATCGCTATAGTCTTGTTTATAATCATATGTACTCAATTTGATCTGATTTAATCAATGTGAGCTTCATTTTTTAGATTCAATGACTGTTGTCTGTGAAAAACTGTGTTGTTTTTTTTTTGCTCATTTTAATCGATTTGATTTGATTTATAAATGATAATGTGTTCAAAATTTAGGGTTTTGATTCCTTATAATGTCGTTTATCAGAAAATGTACTCAATTGGATGTAATTTATTTGCTTGGAGGTGGATTTTTTAGTTAACATGGCTGATTTAAGATGCTCAGTGAAGAACGGAATTTTTTTTTTTTTTTTTTTTTTTTGTATTTTGTAATCCATTATCGAATTTTTTTTTTTGTAATCCATGATCGAATTTTTTGTAATCCATGATCGAATTGTTTTTTTGTTTTTTTTGTAATACATGATAGAATTTTTTTTTTTTTTTTTGAATCCATGATCGAATTTTTTGTAGTCCATGATCGAATTTTTTGTAATCCATGATCGAATTTTTTGTAATCCATGATCGAATTTTTTGTAATCCATAATCGAATTTTTGTAATCCATAATCCATGATCGAATTTTTTGTAATCCATGATCGAATTTTTATTAATCCATGATCGAATTTTTTGTAATCCATAATCGAATTTTTTGTAATCCATAAACCATTATCAAAATTTTTGTAATCCATGATCGAATTTTTTAAAAATTTGTGGTTTTTTTTTGTAATCCATGATTGATTTTTTTTTTGTAATCCATGATCGAATTTTTTGAAAATTTGCTGTACTTTTTTTTTTTTGTATCTATGATTGAATTTTTTGAAAAATGATGATTTCCCTAAAAGATGTGAAAATCGTGACAAGGTTTTGATTATCATGAGGTATTAAACCATATTTTTAATTTTTATTGTAAAAGTTTATGTTGAAAAATTGTATGTTGATAGATTATTTAGGCAAAAAAATACATGTTATTATATTTTTAATGCAAAATTGTATTTTTTTAATTTGTTGTTAATGCATTTTTGAGTTGGAATAACTGATGTTAAGTGGCTTTGTAAAGATTTGTTTTTATTTGTTTTTTTTTTAGTACATGATCAATTTTAAATTGTGATTTTTCGAAAAGATGTGAAAATAGTGACCAGGTTTTGATTATCATGAGGTATTAAACCATATTTATAATTTTTATTGTTAAAGTTTTTGTTGAAAAAATTACATGTTGATAGAATATTTATGCAAAAAACATACATGTTATTATATTTCTAAATTCTAATGCAAAACTGTATTATATTTTTAATTTAGTTTTGCATTAAAAATGTATTTTCAATTTTTAAAATTTTGAACGCAAAAAATCATGTTGTTAAATTGTATTATAGTGAGGAATTAAAGTGAATATCATTGAAAAAAAAATTGTGGCATATATGACAATTATGTTATCCTGCATTTTTTCAATTTTATTATTAATTTTTTAATACAAAAAATGTATGTTCTTGATAATTGAGTTGTAGCCATGTTTGGAGCTTGCATTTTGCATTATATTATCATGTATGTTTGTAATTGATATGTACGAAAATATTATTGTCAATAGAAGTATTTTGCAATAACAAATAACAACAAATATAACTACATGAACTACCCCGACATATTATCACTACACATGGTGATTATTTTTCTTGTTGAACTGTCAGGTTAATTTTTAACTTTTTACATATTAAAACAGTGGAATCATGTCAAGATCTACAGAAGACCCTGTATGGCAACATGGGGTCAGACTTGATCCCAATAAAAAAGACAAAATTATTTGTAATTACTGCCAAAGAGTGATAAGTAGTGGGGTACATAGGTTCAAGCAACACTTGGCAAGGGTTAAGGGACATGTTTATGCATGCAGTAGTGTTCCTAATAATGTAAAAAAACAAATGGTGGCATTTCTTAATGATAACAAAGGTGAAAAAATTGCCAAACATAGGATGAATGAGGAGATAGCTAATTTATATACGCCATCAAGCATGAATGATACAGAAGAACAATATAATAATAACCTGGACATAGCTACAAGAATAAGTTTACATGAACAATATCAGAGGGCACATGGGTTTAGAATGCCCGGTGGGTCTAGCTCAGACATGCATGATGGGTCTAGCTCAGACATGTATGGCGGGCCCAGATTAGACATGCATGGCGGGCCCAGGTCTAGCATGTATGGCGAGCCCAGCGTAAATATATATGGAGGGGTTGGTCGCAGTATGTATTAACAAGAATTAAACGTTGAAGAAATAGTTCCTAACTTATCTAAGAGTGCCAGTATTGCATGTCATGGTCGTATAGACCCATTTCTCTAAAAGCCTAAGTCACAACAGATGACTCTAAAAGGCATGGTTAAAGGTACGATAAACATGTTGGGGAGATATGTTGGTAAATGGTTCTACAATAAAGGGATTCCCTTTAATGTAACCAATAGCCCATATTTTCTACCTATGGTCAGTACAATCCAGAGAGCAGGGCCCGGGGTAAGACCCCCGACGGCATATGAGCTCAGTGGGCCAATATTAGATGAGGATGTGAAGGAAGTTACAAAGTGGATTGAAGAATATAAACAGAGTTAGCCAAGGACATGCATTACTCTCATGAGTGATGGTTGGGTGAATAAAGTTAGCAAAAAGTAGTTTTTAAACTTCTTGACCTATTCTCCAAAAGGTACAGCTTTTTCGTCTAGCAAAGACGTATCAGGAACGAAGAAGGATGCAAACTTCTACGTACGACTATATAATCAGATAGTGGAGGAGGTAGGAGATAAGCATGTAGTCAAGTTTATTACGGACAATGCCCGTGCATTTGTTTCTGCGAGCAGCAAGTTGATGGAGAAGAGAAAGCATCTCGTATGGACCCCATGTGCTGCACACAACATCGACCTTATGTTAAAAGAGATCGGTGAGATCAAAATTGTGAATGAGACTCTAGAGGAAGCAAGGTTGGTGTCGATATTTATATACAATCACTCTAAAATATTTTTTCTATTTAGAGAACACTCTAAGAAAAAAAGATAATCAGGTCTGCCATAACCTGTTTTGCGATCGATTACTTAGCAGTGGACTCCATTCGGGAATTTGAAGGTGCCTTAAAGAGATTGTTTACCTGTGAAGAGTGGTTAAATGACTGCCTCTCGAAGTCCAGTACCGGTATAAAAGTGGACGACATAATCTCAAATTGGAGGTTCTGGTCTCGATGTTCCAGTGTCGTAGAACCCAG